TGAGAGTGACAGGCCATCAGGCGGTGGCGGCTGGTCGGTCCGTCAGGGAGGGGCGAGGAGAAGGAGGGAGTGGGGGGGCGTGGAGGTGACGGAGGAAGAGGTTGATCTGTATGATAATATACTGTGGTGATGAGGGAAAATGTAGAAGAAATATAGGTAGATAAGGAGGAGTAGGAGGCGAAGCAGGAGTAGGGAGGAAGCGGCAGGGCAGTAGGGAGGCAGAAGGGGTAGGAGGCAGAGCAGAAGGAGGATGGTCACGGCTCACAGCAACAGGCCAACGGTGTGTCGTGTCCTCAGGCGACTACAACTTGGTGGCGGTGTTGGAGAAGTGTCTTGTTTTGACACCTTGACACTTGTGTATATAACGGCTCCATTAACTGACACACACACACACACACACACACACTCGCTTCAAGAGACTACCTAGTGTGGCTCTGTGTTTACACCCAGTCCAGACGGTGGTAATTTTGTGTGTGTGTGTGTGTGAAGTTAATCATTTTGATGGGTTGAGAGACTAGCAGTGAGCTGAGAGATTGAGCTTGGCAATATTATGAGAATTTTGGCTCAAAATGATATTAAAAAAATCAATTTAGTAAAACCTTTTGAACTTGTGCTCAAAACGGTAAATAGTTTGAACATTTGAACCTTGCAGAAACTGGTCTTCAAATTACGTGTTTTGTCTCGGAATTTTTTTTTTTTTCAAGAGCAGGTTTTGGTATTTATAACAGCATCTGACACTTACCCTAGACACTTACCTTGACACTTACCTTAGACACTTACCCTAGACACTTATCTTGACACTTATATTGACACTTTACCTTGACACTTACCCTAGACACTTATCTTGACACTTATATTGACACTTACCTTAGACACTTTAGCTTGACACTTACCTTAGACACTTACCTTGACACTTACCTTAGACACTTACCCTAGACACTTATCTTGACACTTATATTGACACTTTACCTTGACACTTACCCTAGACACTTTACCTTGACACTTACCTTAGACACTTACCCTAGACACTTTAGCTTGACACTTACCTTAGACACTTATCTTGACACTTTACCTTGACACTTACCCTAGACACTTTACCTTGACACTTACCCTAGACACTTTAGCTTGACACTTACCTTAGACACTTATCTTGACACTTTACCTTGACACTTACCCTAGACACTTTACCTTGACACTTACCCTAGACACTTTAGCTTGACACTTACCTTAGACACTTATCTTGACACTTTACCTTGACACTTACCCTAGACACTTTACCTTGACACTTACCCTAGACACTTTAGCTTGACACTTACCTTAGACACTTTACCTTGACACTTACCCTCGGCACTTACCCTAGACACTTTCCTAGGACACTTCCCTCTCCATCTCAGTGACAGTGACAGAAGCCTGTAATTATCTGCTGTGAAAAAAACTGTGTAAATTTTTTTCACTGTAAAACTGAAAACGATAACATCACATAAGCTCTGTCTGTCTATCTGTACTGTCTGTCTGTCTGTCTGTCTTCATCATAAGCATCTCAGACAGAATCATCAGACTAAATTCCCATTTGGTAGTTGTGCTGTTATGGGATAGAATTGCTATCATTAATATAGTTTGGATACATCTCATGAGTCACACACACACACACACACACTTAAAACTTAATTACGTAAATGATTCCTTGAAGTGAGAGGTCATTCACGCCACTGTTAGGTTAGATTAGGTTTGGTTTGGTTAGATTTGGTTTGCGTGATAACAATAGATTCCCCAGGCTATCAGTGTGTTACGAGAGGTCAATAAATTAATGGTTTACGAGGTAGAGACTGTCGATAAACATAGGGCAGTGTGATGGTTTATTAATGAGAACTGTAACAGGTTGATAATACACCTGGTTGTAAAGGTGTGTAGGTTTAGGAAGTGTATGTGGGTGTGTAAGGGAGGGGATGTGTGTGTGTGTGTGTGTGTGTATGGTGTGTGTGTATGGTGCTCTCTAACCAGGTGTGTGTATGGCCAGGTACAGTCCACACACACCACTTAGCTCACCACATAATAATTATCAGCACAATACACATCTCTACTTTCCCCCTCCCCCCTCCCAACCCCCTTCCCTCCCTCCCTCCCCCCTACCTCCCACCTCCGGCCTTCCCCCCTCCCAACCCCCTTCCTCCAGCTTGTGAGTAATGTTGGGTGATGATCTGTACTCTGTGTCTTGGTGAAATCTTAGTGGGGGAGGGAGGGGGGAAGGGGTGGGGGAAGGAAGGGGAAGGGGTGATGGAGGAGGTGGGAGGAAATGGGAGAGGAAAGTAGGTGTTAGTGTGTGTGTGGAGAGGGGAGGAAGTGGGTGTGGGTAGGTAAGAGTGAGTGAGTGAGTGAGTGAGTGAGTGCAAGGAGGAGGTGGGCGGGGCAGGTAGTCACTCGCGGCTACACACACAAGAAGTAGGTTAGGTAGAGAGAACTTCCTGTGTCGGGGTTCGTCTTCTTCTTCTCACTCGTCATACACACACACACACACACACACACACATACACACACACACAGCTCAGTCCATCCCTTCAGTATTGTGGGTACAGTCACATAATTATAAAGTCCATTGAATTTAGATCACTGGTTCACCTGTCACACCTGCTGTACACCTGTCCTACGTGACGCCGCTAATTAAGCACCTGGAAACACAGTCTTACCTGGTATCTCATTTTCAGGCGATTTGATGTGAGAACGTGTGTGATTTGTCTTAGAGATGTGTGAATGTTCTGTAACAAGAGATGGATGTGTTTACGTGTGTCTTTAACTGAACCTGTAAGAATTTTGTTACCTTACGATTATTTTAGAATCTCATTTACCTGTGTGTTAATTGGTCCCTATCACGGTTGTTTAATTTATCGGTGTCGCTGGGTACGTGGGGGGTAGTTCAGGTAGCTACTAGGTGAGGTGTACCTTAGTGCCTTATGAAATTGGTGTTTGTGTGGGTATATCACTGTTCCTTGTTGAGTGGTTTGTGAGGGTTGGTGTCTGTGTGTTTGTCTGTTTGTTGTGTCGATCGTGTGTGTCCTAGAGAGGCTTTGTGTTCAGGAGTGACACACACACACACACACACACACACACACACACACACATGTAAGATTCACACCTGGGTTATCCTCGCTAATTACTGGCAGGTGTGGTGAGGCTTCCTCCTTCCTCTCAGTGAATGGTCCCGTCAGGCTCATTAGGCCAGTGGTCGCCCCCGTGTGCTGCTCTGAAATATTAAGTGGTGTTGCTCTCCCTCCGCCCCTACGCCCGTCTGTTTGTTTGTTTATCCTCCGCCCGCGATGGATTGTCTTCGCCACCACGGGCAGCCAAATCAGCTTGACGGTGTTTTAGGATGGAAGAAACGGGAGAGGTTTGTGGGTTTAAAGGACCCCCAGTCAAACTCGACCCCAGTTAAACTTGACCCCAGTCTTTACTTGACCCCAGTCTTCGTCTATAACCAACCCTGAAAATTGTTGACACGTGGGAAGTGTTTTCGCCACCATAACAGTGACACAACAACCACACGTCCAATAAACACACAGTACGGACGACAAGTGGTTGGTGCATTCTCTCTCTCTCTATCTCTCTCTCTCTCTCTCTCGTGTAGTGTTGTTGTTTGTGTGAGTAAGGGGGCGTGGCTTTGTGACTTGGGGCTTTTCACTGGAGGAAGCTGTGTTGTCCATTCAAGGCAGCTCCTCCTCTTCCCGCCACACACACACACACACACACACACACACACTCTCTCTCTCTCTCTCTCTCTCTCAATAGAGTCTCCCCTGACTCCTTTGGCATTTTCCTTCCGTCTTCCTCACGACCTCCTCCTACAGACACTCTCCTCCTCCCCCTCAGTCATTATCCACCTCTCCTCCTCCTCTCTTTCTTAGAAAGCCACAACATTTACTCAAGGTCCCTCCTCCCTCCCTTTACCCCCTCCCTCCTCCTCCTCCTCCTCTCCTCCCCCCTTCCTCCCCTCCTCCTCCTCTCCTCCCCTTCCTCCTCCCCCCCTTCCCCCTCCCCTCCCTCCCCCCTCCCCCTCCCCTTCCTCCTCCCCTTCCTCCTCCGTTTTCAGTACTCAGTCCTCTACCTCCCCATTCACCCTGGCCCTTAACAGACTTTGTAGTTCACTTCTGAATGTTTAAAGACAGAGATGAAGTGACCTAAGAGTGTGTGTTGGCACTCATTGGCACCTCTCGGCTCTGGCACTATTTAGGCACTCTTGTTCATTGATAAGTTTTAGTTCATTAAGAAAAAAATTACAGGTAAAGTCACGTGTGAGAGAGAGAGAGAGTCACCCTCCTCCTCCACCTTAACACTCCGCTATACACCTCTAACCTCTGTAAACTGGAGTGGCTTCTTGGTCTGGCCATTAATTTAAAGGTTGAGTGTGAGCTTCATTAGGGCTTCGTTATCGTGGGGGGGAACCTCGTTTAACAAATGTACGACTTCTTTCATTGCCCGGTCGTGTTTTTGTTTTTTTCATGGCCCGGTCGTGTTTTTTTTTCATGGTCCGGCCGTGTTTTTTTTTCATGGCCCGATCTTACTTCCTTCATCATGGCCCGGTCCAGGTGTGTACCCCGCGAGAGGTTGATATGTGTGTGTGCAGGGAGCGTGAGGCATTGTCTTAGTGACGTGTGACGCAGTTGACGACCCGGATCGTTATGTTTGTGACGCCGGGATGACTTAAAGCTCACACCAGTAACGTAACGGAACAATGCCTCCCCAGTGTTACGTCACAGGTATACATTGTTACGTCACAGGTACACATTGTTCACGGGGAGGAGGGAACAAAGCTTATCATATACCCAGGCGTCGAGGATGTTGTTGTTGGTCGTGGTTCGGGCTACAACATGGGAGTGGTCGTGGTTTAGGCTGCAACATGGGGGGTCGTGGTTTAGTCGGCAACATTGGGGTGGTTGTGGTTTAGGCGACAACATTGGGGTGATTGTGGTTCAGGCGGCAACATTAACACTAATCATTATTTGTTACAGGTAATGCAATAATAACGACTTTTCAGGTTATTATCTCGATGCATTGACGTAATAATAATAAGTGACCCCTCAAAAAAAACCTTCGACTGGAAACTTATACAAAAAAGAAAGAAAAAAAACAGTAAAATATTCTTGGTTTGTGAGGTAGTTAGTTACATGTGTTGATAGTGCAGTGAGAGGTGCCAGGGGTGAGTGCCGAGGTCATGAGGGTGTTAGTGCCACCATGACCTACTACTACTACTGCTGCTAACACATAATGGAACGACGACTGAAGCTGAAGTCATTGAAGCGGGTCAACAGTCAAAAGGTTCAGGGATCAGAGAAGCGGGATGTTGGTCTCCGCTCCCCGGGGTCAGCCAAGAAGCCCCTGGTTAAGTCCCTCTCGGTAGACTGGCGGCTCAACATGATCACTCCGCCGGACGTTTCTTCTCCCAGTCTACACAGGATCGACGAGCTGGACCTGAGCTCCAGCCAACACCTGTGTCGCAGCGCCACCTGCCCCAGTGTGCCCACCAGCGACCACCTCCACCCCCACGGCTCCCCCTTCGTCAGTATCCCTCCCCCAGAGTCTGTCAAGAGCTCCCCCGGCACCACGTCCATGGGTTCACGTGGGAGGGGTGTGGGCACGTCCCTGGTGAGGTCCCATGAGGACCCGGGGCCCACCATACCCGGGGGTGAGAGGAGGCCCCACCGGGGTCTGCGCCGTACCCGGTCACGACCTGAGGGCCCAGCACCCTCGTTTGGGCCCCGTGCCGCCGCTGCCGCCGTCGCTGTGGAGTCTGGTGGCAGTGTGGGGGCCAGTGTGGGCGGCACCATCAAGAGATACGTCAGTCTGTTGAGGAGTCGCTCGGCTGTCTCTCACCGCGAGCGGCCCAACATCGGCCGCATCAGTCCAGGTAACTTAATTATTTAACTTCACATTTATTCCACACACCTGCCAGGTCTTATAACACACCTGTATTATATAGTCACACAGCACACGTGTTAAGTGAAGTGTGTAAGTCACTTATGCCGTACAGTGGCCACACCTGATGCCCTACAGTAACAGTTAGACAAGTTTATTGATTTGTTTATGAATTAACCCCTGATGGTCGGTAAGTTGACACACTCACACACACACAGGTAAGAGGCGTGTACAAGACCAGATGATGTTTATCTTAAGAGCGGATGTTGTGGATACTATTACCTGCCTAAATGACCTGTGGCACACCTGAGGCACCTGTACCTAACCTGAGTGAACCACCTCACACACACACACACACACACACACACACAAACTAAATGATAATGATTTTATCTCCCTCGCGTTATGAACATGTCAGTTTGCCTCGGTGACATGTGATTGTGTCGGAAAATGCAGGTGTCATGAAGGAGGCGGAGGGGGGGGGATGCATCCTCCCCCCCCCTCCCCAACCTCTTCCTCCTCTTCTATATCAGCAATGACCATGACCTAAGAGGGTGCATGTAGGTATCCTCCACCACCTCCTCCTCCTCTTCCCTGTCAGAAGTTTCCATGACCTAGAACGATGCCACCCCTCCCCCTCCCTCACCCCTCCTCCATCTCTTCCCTGTCAGCAATCTCCGTGACCTAGCATGGTGTCACCCTCTCCCTTCCTTCGTTCCTTCCTCCCTCCTCCCTCCTCCCTCCTTTCCTTAGCTTTCCTCCCCTCCCTCCCAACCTCCCTTCCTTCCTTCCTTCCTCTCTGCCTTTTCCTTCCTCCCTTCCCCCCTCCCCTTCCTCCCCTTCCCCCCTCTTCCTTCTCCCCCCCCCTCAGAGGTCAAGGCTCCCTCACAACACACACATAGGCGTGGTGATGCTCTGGTGGTCGTGCGTGGACAATAAACTTCTCTTCCTCCTGAGTTTTACGAAGGCGACACCGGAAACTGCTGACGGTGGTGGGGAAGTGACCTGCTCTCCTGACGACTGGCTGGAGAGAGAGTGGGAGGGTGGGACTAGAGAGAGAGGTGGGTTAGAGAGAGGCGGAGGCAAGACAGAGAGAGAGAGAGGGGGGGTGAGGTAAAGCAGGGGAGGATATTTGAAAGAAAGGGTTAGAGAGAGAGAGAGAGAGAGAGAGAGAGAGAGACCTACCTGGCACATTATGACTAATCACTCTCACTCGGGGCCACAGGTAAGCCACAGTAAACAGTCTTACCTGAGGTGGCTCTCAACCTATACCTGTCTCATTAACACCTACTAACTCTTTCCTTTGGTCCCTCCGCATTAGTTAGGTTAGGTTTGGTTTGATGAGCTTAGGTGAGGTTAGTTCATCGCTTAGGTTTGATTAATTCATATGTTAGATTAGGTTAATTTTGGTTAAGTTAGTTCATATGCTAGGTTAGGTTAAGCTAGGTTAATTTGTGGGTTAAGTTAGGTTATGCTAGGTTAGTTTATATTATGGGTTAGGTTAGGTTAGGTTATTGTCTTGCATCTCCACCTTGAGGTCAGGGGCAGGTGATGAAGAAGACAGGTAAAGTCTGGGCTCTCTCACCTGTGTAACCACCTGTGTGTGGTGGGGGGTGTCACTAACCATAACACAGGGAAGAGGGGCAGTGAGGGGTGGGGTGACGTAAGGGGGCCGGTGGCTTTACCCCTAGGAAGGTAACACCATTAGTCAAGGTGAACCACGACCTTCCTGAAGGTGCCGCAGGAGCTACTAGGGACACTTACCCTATCACACACACACACACACACACCTTGATCAAGTTAGCTGAGCACGTGTAGGCAGCACCTGTTGTTAGCGTACTGATGGGGGAGGAAAGCAGGCCAGGGAGGAGAGAGGAAGGAAGGAGGGAGGCTAGAAAAGAAAGAAACAAAGGATAAAGGAAACTAGCGATGAGGAGGAGGGTGTAGCTCTCCTGACCTGCGCCCCCCCCCTCCTGACCCACCAGCAACTCAGTACAGTGGTGATTCAGTTACTATGGACAACATATGACCATGACCTGCTGGGGAGATGGAAGAGTGTGCTGTCAATGGTCATTAGTGTGTGTGTCAACGTGTGTGTGTGGGGGGTGATCGTTGCATTGTCATGTACAGCCACCCTCCTGCCAGACCAAAGTGACACACGACACCTCCTCACCCCACCCCCCCACCCCCCACCCCTAAATCCTCCTCCCTTCCTCCACCCCCCTTCCTTCTTCTTCCTTTACCCCCACCACACTGAGGTTGCCACTGTCGTCACACTAACGCACGCAATGTCATCAAAACAGTGCACGCAATGTTATCATGTAGTCACGAAAACACTGCACTCAAGGGTGTCGTAATTACCACAGTTAATTACACTCATATCCTCCATCACAACTACCACCATTACCACCACAACTACCACCATCACCACCCAGACAGTTAACCACATTTGACACCAACACACACACACACACTCTCTCTCTCTCTCTCTCTCTCTCTCTCTCTCTCTCTCTCGCTCTCTCTCACACACACACACACACACACACACACACACAACAATGAATAAGCTTACATTACGGTATTCACTGTTAATATACACACAGAGAGACGTATACTTATCTAACACAGGGTATAATATTTGCTTGAGGTATAAAGGTATATTCATTTATATACCTGTAATCGGGTCCTGTTATATTACCTTTTTAATTTAGATATAACATTACAGGTATACAAGCTCAGGTGTGTGTGTGTGGGGGGGGGGGTTATTTCAGTATATTTTTCGTGTCATTAATTACACTTATTACAGTACAGGATGAGAGTTCGTGGTAATGACAGTGTTTTTAGTAGATGATGTACATTATTTTTGTACATTAAGTTGTACACGGAAGAGAATGAGATATGTTTATTACCTGTATTATATCTGTACACAGGTAAGACACTCGGGAATATTTTTAGTTCATAATGTATATTTTTTTTTTTTAGGGGGGGTCGATATTACAGGTGTAGGCACAGTTACAGGTAGAACATGACATGACGTACAGGTGTGTGTGTGTGTGTAGATCTCTTTAACACCTTCACAGCATCTTGAACCCCCCGTCCCCCCTCTCCTCCCTCCCTCCCATCTCTCTCCCTCTTCCCCCTTACCCTCCTCTTCCCCTTACCCCTCACTCATCCCCCTTCCCTCCTTCCCCTTCCCTACCCTCCTCTCTCCCTGTTTCCTCCCCCTCCCTCTCTCTCTACCTTCCCCTCCTCCCCTACCTCCTGTGTATACCTGGTAGGTGTAATGGATATACACCTTGGGAATTTTTTGTGGTTCTGTGTACTCATTTATAGTTAGTGTAGATATACTCCCGTGTTGGCTTCCTTACACACACACACACACACACACACACACACACACACACACACACACACACACCTGGGGTTTATGGGTTTATGGTGCAGTGGTATAGGTTTTATGGTTGCTGGTGGTTTTGTGTTTGTGGTTTACCGTGTGGTTTTGGCCCACCTGTTCACTCCTACAGGTAGATGACAAGGTAGTATATGGTTGATTGGTGGATGGACAGGTAGATGAGTGGTTTGATAGACAGGTAGATGACAAGGTAGCATGGTTGATTGGTGGATGGACAGGTAGATGACAAGGTAGTATGGTTGATTGGCGGATGGACAGGTAGATGAGTGGTTTGATAGACAGGTAGATGACAAGGTAGTATGGCTAATTGATGGATGGACAGGTAAATGGATTGATAGGGTTGACAGAGATAGATAATGATAGATAAATATGTACCTAAATAAAATGTTGTTTAGATAGATAGATAGACAGGTGAATAGACAGACAAATTGATAGCCAGACAGGTAAACTAATGACACCGACAGACAAATTGACAGCCAGATAGGTAAATTTAGACAGATTGATGAGTATAGCTTTTTTATAGTGGAAAATTGGACGGGTTAACGGCTTGGTAGTGAGACGGAAATGGTTATGACGTCAGCTGACGGATGTATGGTGGAGTGAAGGATGGAGAGGGGAGTGGGAGAGGGTAGTGGAGGGTGGATAGGGGGATGTAGGGGAGGGGAGGGAGGGGGTTGTGGTGTCTAGGATATTAATACAGGTAGAGGATATGTTATATACCTGTATATTACCTGAAGGGTTTCTTATAATCCCGCCAGGTGTATTTTGTTGGTACCCCCCTCACCTGTCTCTCTCATCCCTCTCTCCCCCTTCACCCCCTCCCTTCACCCCCTCCCTTCACCCCCCCCCCTCCTCTAGTCAGCCGTGTCATCCAGGGTTGGACCTTGTTCGGGTCGATGTGTCATTAATCATATCTGGTGGCCGGAGCGTGACTTTCATATCGGGGTCCTGAAGAAGCCAAGGATCGGCCTCCACAGTCCTTCTATCCTGCCCCTGGTACTCCTTACACTCCTATCCTGCCCCTGGTACTCCTTACACTCCTATCCTGCCCCTGGTACTCCTTACACTCCTATCCTGCCCCTGGTACTCCTTACACTCCTATCCTGCCCCTGGTACTCCTTACACGTCATCCCTCTAGACAGTAATCCTCTACAGCCTCCCATGTACCGTAAGTCTTGGCAGAACGCACATACACACACACACACACACACATACATACATACATACATACATACATACATACAGATAATTGTTGCTCAGGTGTTAAGGTTTACAGGTGAGAGATTGTGGTCGACAAAGTTTATTTGGCAGAGACGATTTGTGAGAGAGAGAGAGAGGAGAGATAGAGAGATACAAATGAAAGAGAAAGGAAGAGAGACAGACAAAAAAGGAAAGAGAGAGAGAGAGAGAGAGAAAGAGAGAGAGAGAGAGAGAGAGAGAGAGAGAGAGAGAGAGAGAGTAAGCATTAGTGTAGCGGTAAAGGCAGCAAGGGTGATGGCGATGACCGTGAATTCAAAAAAACAAAGAGAGAGAGAGAGAGAGAGAGAGAGAGAGAGAGAGAGAGAGAAAGTGAGAGAGAG